ATAACAAATGTAATTTTAAAATTTAATTTGATATCACTGTTGCTAAAATGCATTTACAAGTGCATAATTGCATGCAGAAAAACCTGCATTATTATGTTTAAATTTTGAAATTTTCTATGTGGAATAAACAAAATAAGATATAAATATCTACGTTAATAATAAATGTTATTAAATGACATAAGCAATTTTTACAATGAAAAAAAATAGGTATAACCAAGGATCAGCACTTTGCTGATTGCCATGTAATTCGCGAAATAATTTATTCAAAAGTGGTTCGGGACGAAGTGCATCGCTACGAAATATCGTGGTAAATAACCTTTTGCCATTATTTAAGACCGGTAAACGTGTCGCTCGGATACATACAGACCTTCGTAAAGTATGGCGGACGTCAAATAAAATGACAGGTAGCCAGGATAAACCTTCTCATAGATGATATATTCTAATAAATATCAAGCTGAAATATTCAGTTGAGAGTTTTGTGAAAATATACGGGTAGTATAAAAAATCGCGAGGATCATATATAACGCGATACAGGCGTGGAACATCGTCACGCGATTGCATTTCACTCCTGGTGCATTTAAATGCAACAATTACCTCCTTCCTGGAAGCTATTTATTTTTCAATAAAATTTTTCTATTCATTTCTAATCTTTACTAAGATCGTTTCTTCAGTATTAATTTTGAAAATATAAATAAAAATAAATAATTTTTTGAAAATTTTATTAATGAAAGAAATAACACCTTGTTTTTAATTAGTGAGTTATACTCCTAATTTTTCTAGAGTTAATATTTACAAAATAAACTTTTTCTATAAGAAGATAGCTAAACTTTTAATTTTATTCGAAATATTCAGCACAGTTAAACTATGTCGTCCTTTTAATCGCGTCTCTATATTCCTGACACACTTTCTTCTATATTTTAATCACGTTCATGATTCCCCGTCCCATTCCATCGAGAAAGAAGCGAAAGGAATCTCTTCGAGTACCGACTGAAAAACTATCAGAAACACAGCCGTGAAATTCATTTTTAATAAGATCCCGATCAAAAGCGACGTAACCGAACTTTCCTCGTCGTATCAGCCGATATTCCACCGTCTTCCTTTTGATAACTATTTTTTTACCAACCCCATAATATTATATTTACCCCACCATCCTCAAAACAGATAAATTATAAAAAGAAAGCAATTACAACATTTATTAATACTAACGAAGATCAAATATAGAAGAATTGATCGAAGACGTTCGGATAGTTTGATGAATCTTCGAGGTATGATCATAAACCTTCCACGAATTTCACGTTTTTAGATCATAGTGGGGAACACACCAATGGCCGACTAAAGGAATGCAAGCTCCTACAGTAGGAAATACTCTCGCTGGGACAACCTGTGCGATTCCTGGAATCAACATTCCTTGGCTGCCGCAGAAATTGACCTTGCGTTAATTGCAGAAATGCTCAAAGTACCATCACTGTTTTGCAAAAATTTTCTAACATCTTTTCCACATTTGATATGTATATTTTTTGTTGAAATTCCTAAGATAATATCAAAATAAATTCTTTATGATACTTTTACGCAAAAATCACTGGAGAAGGGTTCGTAGACATCGTCAGTCGGCCAAATGCGACCGGAAGAAGCTGCACGGTATTATTTGGCTGTTTCTCACCGCTGAACTTTCCTCTATGTACGCGGAAACCTCGCGCAGTCGTGAGAATTATATAGGAAGCGTGAAGGATAGAGTAGAAGGGGTTTGCCACGGTCTCCCTGTGGTGAGTTGCACTTGTAAATGCACGTCTCTCACAGTATCCTGGCCCCGTCTACCTACAACCCCTCTATAACCTACTGAAGGTATATAGGGTGTCCTATACAATTGGTACAAGCTCCACCTTTTAAATAATTAGCGATAGAAAGCAGTATTGCAGAAGAAAATTAAGCGGAGTCAAATGATGCACATGCACTTTTATGCATTGGTGCATAAGAAAACTGCAATTGCATTTTTTGCTTTTAAATAGAACATTATACTTTATTTTTCTATTGGAATCTTAACTCTTAACTATTTTAATACTTCTTTATAGATAATAAAAAGTTGCTTTGAGGATTGCATCCAAAAGTTCAAGATTGCATTAAAGAAAAGTGCAATTGCACTTTATCTGATGCACAAAAATGCACCAACTGAATTTCAGAATGTACATTCTAGTACACATGGCATCATTTAATATTGTTCTATGATACTATTTTTTATGTATATCGATTTTAAATATATAATTTGTCCTAATTGTTTGGAACACCTTGTATATACAGCAGGTATATGGCCGCCAGGAGGTAGGCGGCTGCTAGCTACAGTGGGAACACAGTTCTTGCATTAGCCAAAGAAAGATTTCTGGCGAATCAAGCGAAAGAGAGGGAGCTTGGCCAACCAGCCGAGGGTGGAACGAAGAAAAGATCCCCGTACAGACAGGCAGTGCTTCTTACCAAAAGGCGTGCTACCTCGGTTTATTGCCGATTTCCGATGTCTGATATCGCGTCGACAACTACTACTTCCTGATACTTTTAAGCCGTGCCCGGAAAAAGAAACGTATCACTGACAAATTCGATTTTATGAAAATTAACACGTTGATTAGTGACTTATGCTTCAAATTTTAAAAAAAATTTTGTATCTTGAATAAAATTATTTTTTATTGTGAACAGATTATGAACTAATTTAATATTATTATTAATATTAATTATTTTTTTGAATTATAAGGACCCAAATAACCCTAAATTGTTTAACTAAACACGGTTATCTAAGGATGAATAATAATGTAATTTATATATATTTCTTTTCATTGCCACGATCAACAAATTAACAGCATCAATCCGTCGTACCACGAAATGAACGAAGGCGGTGAACTTATGAAGTCCTGGCTTTGATTAATGCGCAAGTTCCTTTTCGGGGATAAAGCTCTTTTGAGAAGCGAAAGACGTGGCGCGCCTAGAGGGGAGCGGAGTCGATTCGAGTTTGCTTTAGAAGAGGAATTTTATTGGTTTTTATTTCGAGACCGAGTTAGCTTTGATGTATCCGGAAGGTTGCGCTTAAATAGCCGAAGAACGATGAACTTCCTTTCAATGAATTCTTGTTTCTTAGCTGAATTGTCGCTACAAAGACATGAGAATATTTTGTGACGGGGATGCTCAAGGAAAAAATGTGTACCACGTTTCGACCAAAATGAAAAATATAAATTTTCATATATTAGGAAAATAATATCTAATAATCTAAAATTTTTTAAATAGAAATATTTCTGGGATTACTCAATATTTTTAGAAAATAAATCTAATTTTTCAATCAATATCACAAAAAGTGTAATCTTTCTTTTATCCTGTTAGATAGAAAGCTAGTTTCACCCAGTTCAACAAACTTCACCAGCCAAGATATCACCGAAATCGTTCAGTCAACATCCACTGATCCTTATATCCCTTTCCTCGTATATTTACCTTATTGGCCAGGGTATGTTGGTCCAATAACGAAACGCAGTTAAACCAACCCCTTCTGTTTGAGAAACCATCAGATTTCCCCAGCTCGATCCTTGACGTTTTGTGATAAAAAAAAAATATCAGGCAAAGGAAACAGGAATACGTTTGTGAACACCTGTCCGTGGGTTAGAAATCATGGAAACTCGTAACGATGCCGGAAGAAAAGCCGATTTCTTCGAAAGTTGTTCGAGTTTACTAAATGCTCTCGAACGAACGCACCCCTGTCTCGAGTCAGATACCACTGGGGAGGAAGTTCGAAACTAATGGCTGGAAGTCAATGATGCTTCCCTTTTAAGGATTTGTTCTGACTAGACGAAGAACTATCCAATACAAAGTTAACCCAATAAAATGAAAGGACGTTTCGTGAATGATGATGTGAATGTTTCATCGATAGTGAGAAACATCCAAAAATCAAAGTTTGAAATTCAATTAAATCGCGAAATAAATTAACTTTTTATTGGTAAATTTTTAAATGTAAAATTCATGTAAATTGAAAATACTAATTTAGTATTTATTGAAAGGGTTAACATACAGCAATTGCACGATTGATTTTATTGATGACTGATATTGGAACGTGACACGAGAGATAAAGGACGAGTGGTAATAAAATGGCGTGAATTCGAAAACATTTCTTTTTTTTTTTTTTCATTGGAATGAAATCGTGGTAATGGAGGAAAAATTGATGGTATTAACGAGTAAGTGGTTAATTGAACCAACCTCAATGAACGCAAAGGTAATAAGCCGATTCGCAGCTGGTATTCAGTGCGTTTATGAGTTAAAATCGAGCCGCAGTTATCCAATAACGATGCATCATAAATTCTTTCTTGTAATTAAAGAAGAGAAACAAAAAATTTTATTAATTAGTTAGAAGCTCACGAATAAATTTATCACTACTCATTTGAATTTCTTAGCCCGAGACAATAATTAATTTTCCATTTAATGAATCTTAAATTTCTAATCAACAACTAATTCTTATTGATTAGTTGAAATATCGTAAATAAATCTGTTTTTCCGTCAGGAGACAACAATCAATTTTTAATTTAATAAGACTTAAATTATTTCTAATTTCTACTTAACATTGAATTCTGTTAATTAATTAAAATATCAAAGATAAATTATCGTTACTTTACTAATATTTCCATAATTCTTCAAATACAAAATTTATCATCGTCAATTTTCCAAAATCCACCTCCATACAGAGGTACACCGATAATGGTGCTGTAATTCCAATTAGAACCTTTGCTCGCGGCAAAGGTGTCCATTAAAAATACAAAGCTTAGCTTCAAAGAAGCCGTCAGTTTGGTTCGTTGAAAGCTCTAGGATTAAATATCGTCGTTCAAACGAACGGTTATTCGTTTGGTCCATAATTAATTGATAAGAGGAAAGATACACAGAGAACACAGAGCCGATGAGACAATTAATGTTTAAATCAGCCTACACGTGAAAACGAACAAGTTATCAATGTTTCAACACTATGAGAGAGGAAAATTACTTACCGAGTATCTGGCTAAGAACGGTGCGGCCATCTTCACCGAGGCAGGCGCTTCGAGCATCAAAGGGATTTGTGAATTGCACGAATGCATAGCCTTTGTGCATGGATATTCCTGAAACAACAAACGATCATGACGTTCCAATATACCCGGCGCACCTCGCCGCTCCTTTCCATCGTCTTTCTTCTAACCACGGGACCCGGCAATGAAACAGAAATACCAACATAACGGATAGACGAACCAAGAGAGTGGGGGCATATCTTTAATTAAAATTGTTTCCATGAATTTTGATGAGGGAGAAATCGTGGCTTCTGTTGATCTCGTCATCGTTCAAGCTCAAGATGTTGAATTGGTGAAACGACGGTACTGAGTGTTTGTTATTATAATTCCTTGCATTGAATTATTATGAGCAATGATAAAGAAATACGCGTTTCAAATGCTAATGATTATTTTAAATATTTTTAACCGGAATATCATGGGGGAAATTGGGGACCAGCTTCAAAAATTTAACCCTTTCGCTGCTATGGGCATTTGAAAATGCAATAACAATTTTTATATAGCAATTAGAAATCAAATACCTAGGCTAGAAAATTAATAATTAAATAAATTTTTAAGGTTCACCATATCTACCAATGTTGAAAGTAAAAAAAATCTGTAATTGCCAAATTCAAGATTCGTATACTGACGTTCTCAATGTTCGCAATTTATCAAACGTTGTTGTAGCTGGACGATTTTCAGTTGCTGTGAGTGACTGTAGTTAGGGCCATCTATTATGAATCATCCTGTACAATTCAAGAAGCAAAAATCAGAAAGAAGAAGGAAACGTCTTGAAAGAAAGCCGTTCATCCTGATATTAGCGAATGAGTACAAATTAAATCCCCTTTGCATCAACGGAATAAAACCGGCTGTATCCGAAGAATCTAGCCTCCATCGGACGTGTCTCTTCAACTGTTCCTACAACTTCTATAAAAGTTTCCGACTCTCCTCGCCGCAACGACAATTCGCAATCTCTCTTCGACGACTGTTTTGTAGGAGAACACGGTGAATCGAAGCAAGAGAGGGCCTCTGCTCGTGTTCTTATTGCGAGAATCTGAAGAAACGACGAGGCTTCGAGTCAAGGGAGACGTGAAATTGGAAAAGGTTCGGCTTGTCAGATAGACCAGCTACCCATCGAGAGGAATGTTGGAACACGGTGACAGCTGTTTGAGGCAGATTGCAGGAATCGAGTCGAGTGTCCTGCAACGATCTCTCGAAAATCGTCTAACAAAGAAAGAACCACGAAAAATTGAAAAAAAGATCCAGACCCTATTAACGGAATCATTCCGTAGAAAAATATCTTTCAAATTCAAAATTCCTCGATCTCTACCCACGTATCTTTCCGTCTGACATTTTTTTTTCCCCCCCATTATTTTTATATTTTCTTTTTTTCCATCGACCAGCACGTGACACGGCTCGGGGTCATCGATTCCGTGGCCAGTCTGCGTAGCAAGTCTGCAGATACGTTCATTTGAACGTTGCAGTGGTCGCCTGTAATCTGTGTACCCGTAATAACTTTTGCGTGGTTAGCAGCTGACCATGCATGGAATTCATTATGCTGAAACAAATATGTAAATCTCCATATATTCCTGCCACGGTTATATACATATATGGCAACGGGTGTACGCGCCACGGATGCGGATATATTTCGTACGGAACGTGTGTCCACCGCCCCCCTCCCGAAATGGACAGTGATGGTTAGAAAAAAAAAAAAAAAATAGAAGAACTTATCTGGCCGCACCAGTTGCGTGGAACATGTTAATATTGTCAAAGGTTAAAAATTTCGTTCCTTCCTTGGGTGATTTGTTATTTTATCACGTGGACCAGGTGTGATTCAATGTTGTTGGAACATTGGATTTTTTTTTTATCAAGGATTCTCCTTAATTCGAAACAATGAAATGCTTAAAATACAGAGTGTATTATCGAAAGCAACACGTTCAACGTCGAATCGAGCTGGCAGACACCGAATTCTATCTCCCTCTTTGAATCGAGAAGAGGAAACTGACGACGTCGAGGACAAACGGTGTCTGGAGGCAGCCGATAAACAGCTTACTTTCAGCCTGGACCCCGATAAAACGGCAAGACAATAAATGCGTCCTAGCACAATGCGGCTGCGCGAAACTTTGTCCTGAACTTGAGTCCTTTTCGAGGAATTAAAAGGAGCTTCGATTCAGCCAGATAAGACGGCCACCACAGCGAGGGAGCACACAGAGACGGCTATTCAAACATGCCACGCTGACAGCTGTACGCCACAGATTGGCCGGGTCAACCGGAACTTCCTGATTCTATGGAGTGTTGTCTACCACCGTGCTGGACAGCCGCTTAATTTTATTCCCAAGTTCGCTCGATTGAGAACGAACCTCGAATTTGTAAAGAACCGAGAGAAGGATCGGATTGAGATGAGGAAAGAACAGTTTGAACGAGTTGCTGCAGAAATTTCCGGTTAATTAATCGTGACGTTTGTTCTTAATGAGTTCGAGTTGAGGGTAATTATCAATTCTTCTGAAATTGTATGAGGTGCGGTGAATTTTGAAAGCGAAAATTAGATAAAATTCTCTATTTTCTATTTGGCGAGCTATTTTTTATATTCAATTTTCTATTTGCTGAACAATTTTCTATTTTCTATTCGACAAGTTTTTTTGAAAATGATTAATTTTGAAGACTTGTAATAAGCTTAAGATTTGTATAAAAAAATTCTAGATCAAATCCGAGCAATTTTCAAGTAAAAAAGGATCATTAATTTCAAATTAGTGGGGAAAAAAAAGGTTCTCTAATGTCAGAGAAGGGAAGTAAATCGTGCAGGCACTCGGTCAAGTAGATAAGGTCAGTGTGATGTCAGACAGACGGTAACTCGCTGAACGACGAGTTTTCCGTTTTCCACAAAGCGGAAATTTTGGAAGAAGATATTACACGCTAATTTCTCTGCAAATGCAATTTCAAAATACTATTCCGAAACAAACGAATTCCTCTATTATTCTGAATTACGACCCAAAACTAGAATTAGTACCCCTTGAATTCTAATTAGAAGTGAAATGTTTGTTTTAATTCTAATATCAAATATAGAAATACAGAAGTTCACGCAGGTAACATAAAATGGTTTAACGTGAATGTTCTGCGAAGTGTCAGATCGATCGAATTATTTGAATTTAATGCGGAAAGTTTTCATTAGAGCCGTAACGCGAGAAGCATTGCGCAACTTGGACGGAAACTACGTCATAGACTGCGCTTTAATTTTACCTGCTTCAGAAACACCAAACATGGATCGCGTTCGCACAGCAGTGACAGCTGTACGCAACAGACTCCAAGAAACTCGAAATTCGTATAAGTAGCAGAGAGTTTCACGAAACTACAGTCAACAGTAAAAGTGTCACACTTTTATTAACGGTATACGATTCCGCTGTTGCTCGTCAAACAACAGAATGTGGTTTAACTTTAGTATAACTTAATAATATCACGTTTCCTAACATCTACGAATCTATTCAAAGAAACAATCTGAAATTTGTTAAAGAGAAATGAAAAATAAAAGGAGTCTAAAATTAACCCTCCACAGGTACACTGAGAATTCCAAGTCTCCCGAAACATTTATTTTTCCTAATTAATTCTTCAAACATTCGACTCAACCAACCAGAATTTTTGCAGATTTTTTAAAGCTTAGGAGAGTAAAAAATTAGCTACGGATTTAGAGGATCCAGTATGCAGACGACGTTAGTAAAAATAAAGTTGCAGACGGAGGGTTAAATTTAAATCAAGTCATATAATTATTTTATTTTCTATAAGAAAAGGCTAAATAAGAGAAATGAGAAAAAGAAAGCTGAAAAATTCCAATAAATCCTGATCGAAGGACGAAATCTAATCACTGACAACAACAACGCTTTCAGAGAAACGTTTGATCGTAACGAAAGTTCGTAATCCAAACCGAATTCAGTGGCGGACGCAATCTTCGTAGCCCCAATTTATTATCGTCCACCCCTCTCAAACCCGATGCCGGGTTTAGTTGCTCGCAATAAAGTACGTTTCCCAAACGAAGTTAGTGCTACAATGAAAGCAACAGAGTCATCGTAGGGGGCTCTTCGTGAAACTAGAGACGGATATCCAATCGGGATATCGAAGGTCAAGGAGCTATCACGGCGCAAATTGGGTTACCAAGGACGAACCGTATCGAGAAAATCCTATTTCCAACTCGGTATTTTTCTCAGACCCACGGAACCCAAGCTTCCATGCTTTTTATACCAGGATAACAGCACGAGTTTTCCCCTGTTATCCGACCCGATCTTTGAATCTCCTCAACTTTCCGACCAGTTTGTAACTAGCCGCTGTTCTCCTACGACTTTTACCTCGAAACCCAAATAAGCCCGGTCGTTATTTTACACACGTTTTGTAATTCGTTTTAGATAATACGAACGGCTACCAGGTTTTATACCCGTGCCGGGAAATAGTATCGTTCGTTCAACGCTGGAATTTCACGGTGCAATTTTAATTTCAACCATCGATTTCCTAACGCCTGCCCTTTCTTCTCAAGATAATATCGATACACATTGACATTTTCTTCTTCTGCTATAAAACAGATGATCTTTAATGGGTTAGCTACTGTGGAAGTCGCGGATGACTGTAGTCATAAATTTTAAATGATTAATTAAATAGAAGAGAGAAATATTAACTCCCGGACAGCGGACCATCGAGAGAACCACAATTTTAATTCAATTTTGTATTTCATATTGATATCGTTTTCCTTTAAAAATTATTCTTCCAACGTATGAATTTATTATTTATAGAGGACTCGGATGAGTTGCCATCCAAAATTGATATACATATTCCACTAACCTTTTATAAGCGCACTTTGTCGCTGATTTTCCCTGTCTATCGCGTTTCATCGCGAAAAAAAAAAATCTGACGTCTGACGTTCGTGGCATTTCAACGAAACGAAAGAATCTCTAAAACACGGCCGAAGAAGCTGATCCCGTGGCTTTCGTTTATGTGATTTCACAAACCTACCTGCTAGACGGCCGTACCGCTGAAACATTCGCTCCACATCGGTTTTGCTGCACTGAAACGTGTTTAGATTCCCGACGAAAACCCGGGAATTCACCGCCTGTGGGTCCTGCGAATTGGTCTGGTTGCCCACTTTGCTCATCTTCATTGCCTGAAACAGAAGAACGGTAACGGATACTGTTTATTGCCCGACGTGATTTGAGTGACGATTCATGTGAAAAATGATATTCGGTTATTCTGTCGGTTCCAGAATAACGGAAGCCACAATTGTAACAGTGTTACACGATATTTGTTCGCCATTTATAGATCGGTTTTTCCAATTAAAAACTGCTTTCGTCAGGTTTCTATTCAATCATATGATCGTCAATTAATTTGTTACTGCAGAATAAAATGATAGCTTTTGGTGTATACGTAGGTTTCCACGAATCAGCCAGAATGAAAAATAATAGAAAAAATATTAGAAAACCATTAGAAAAATGTTAGAAAAAATATTAGAGAAAATATTAGATAATAATTTAATAAATTTCTATACTTGTCATTATTTTTGTACGAGAAAATTATTAAAAATAAACTGGTATTCATTAGAAAAATTTAATAAATAAGAATCTATATTCTTCATCGCTGAATAAAAAGTGCTTATGTCTGAAAAAGAAGATCCTTATGATACAAATCAGAAAGTTTATCTATTTCCCTGTCAGTATGTATAACTCAATAAATTCTTCTAAAAACATACATTATTTGCTTCACAATAATCGGATTTCACCGCGTGCCTGCAATATCCGTTAAAATAACAAAAATAGAAAAAAAAAAAAAGAAGCGAGACGACTGATCAATATCCGTAAAACGTAGTAGCAATAGCTAAAAAATATAACGTTCGTTCAATTCACACGTATCGAAACGAAACGAAACAAACATTTAAATATCGTTCGTTCTGGTTTCTTTTTTTCTCTCTCTTAGAGGAGAAATGTTCAAACGTGTCTGGTAACAGTTCGTCGGAACAATCAACAGTTTCAAGGAGAATCGATAACGAACAAGTTGGCCGTCATCTGGCGGATACTTAATGAGATTCGCGGGCGTCCTTTAAATTATCCAAAGATGGTGACGCGTCGCGTCGTTCAATGAAAACGCGAGGAATTAATTAACGCGTTGCTATCCCATTCTAAAAACCAACGGGTTTCGATGCGACGCGGCTGTCTCCGCGTTCCATTTTCTACCAAATATAATAATCGCTACAAAACTAATGAGATCGTTAGCCAGACCGATGCTAAACGCGAGGATACGTACAGGTGGTGCACGACTCGATTTCCATCAGTTAATCTTCCGAATGATCACATGTTAATTGAGTTATCTGCTAGTTAATTGAAACGATAGGTGGATATAAAAAAATATTTTCATTAATCCTGTCGCTATTATTATGATGGGTTACTATAGTGGTTTAATACAGGGGGTTACTTACAAGGAAAGGCAAGGTGGATTTATATTTTATTTTCTTGTATTATTGATATTAAAAAATTATATTAATTTGCTTTTTAAACCAATATCTTTGAAACTAGTACAAATCTATAAAATAAATTCATTTAACTAATTTGAAAATTTCCTATCTGGTAAAAAAATTTCTATTATAATTTGTATTTTTTACGAAATACACTGAACTGCTTCTCTCTTGTATTATGATATTAAATCATTAAAAACATTGCAAACAATCTGGTATTTTACAACGCTGCATTTACACGTTGGAAATCGTAGAATTTCTAAATAATATTGTAACAAACCTTCATTACAAAGTTTCTCATCCGTTGAAACATGTAACTCACAAGCGAATTTTATTAAAATTTCCCCAACGGTGTCCAACAACGAATGCTCGTTATAATAAATCATACTAAACGAATAAGCCCTTAGCGAACAAAACACAAGTTTCTCGTATCTCCCGTGAAAATTTGCAAACTTTTATCCAATCAGAAGCTGCGGTAGTTTTATAATAAAAGTTCTACTCATTAGTAATGTCGAGTTACATATATAGACAATTTACATTAATTCGTGGTACTCTTACAAAGCAAACATCGGTATACGGTATTATTTAATAAAAAGAAGTTTCAATGATGATTCTGTGCTAATTGAAGCAATGTTAATAATTTGTTTAAAATATTTACATTCGACTTTTGACATTTATCATTTACGATGCTTCGTATCGATCGACGTTTCGACGTTGATGACATGGTTAAATCCGTGTGAAAAATGTATAGTAAACTTGGCTAACTGAGGTTCTTGGTATTTTTGTCTTCCTCGACCTGTGCCAATTTTCTCGGTTTTCTGTTTTAGGAATACGCTATTGAGAAATTTCATTAAATTACAGCGGCACGAACAGATGGAAAGCGAGACAAAATTAACCCCCCGACTCGTGATTTGATTTTGGCAATTCTCATTTCTGCAATTTTAAAATAAAAATAACAAAATTTTTATTTTATACTCTTTGATAGAGCAATTATATTTGGAATGATCTATCGCATTTTTTAATAAGTTGCTGAGTGTTGAATAATAATAATATTTCGACAGATTCTATAATATATGTAGCATTGACATAATACGTCATAGGCCACATAACTACCCCTTAATATTGGCTTGATTGATGTCAGAGTAATTACTAGCGAACACGTCCAGTCAAGGGAAATTGGCGGTGAGTCTAATTAGACACTCAGCGTGTCCGTTCTCTAATTAGCATAAACAATAAGAATGTTCATTGTTTGTCATATAAAAAATATAATAATATAATAATTGGAAGAAAGCAAGATATAACGATACTATTTCCACCTATTACATAATTTTTCTGAAATTGTTTAATGCAGTATAATAACACGGTTTCCCCTTCCAATTAATTTAAGAATCATCTCCAAAACCCACGAATAGCAGAACTCGTTTAACTAAGCAGAAAAACAGAGTTATTTTATTTCACGTGCAAATTCGAGCTACATTTTTCAGCATAGGACCATCCCGGTCACAATTTGCCTCGATTTCAGGCCCGACATTCACGACAAACGCTTTCAATGCGTTTTCACAAACGCTTTCAGCGTTCAGCTACATTTTCCGGCCACGTTAGTTTAATGCTACGCTTAACGCGAATGATATTTCCGTCGTGGAAACATTTGAAACGATGAAAATCTAATCGCCGAATAAAAAATATAGAGAGAAGAAAGAAGACCAAATAAATGAAAACGAAACAGAAAAAAAAAATGAATGAGAGAATTTTGTTGGACGCGAAAAACGCAGCTTCTGAACGATACTTATTGTCGATTTTACGCATTTCGATTTCCAATTTCACGTGAGAACGCTTGTATATGTGTGTATCATGGGGTTAACATTCGAGTCCGAAAAAACATACCGTGGGTAATATTTTTTCCGACATCTCGAACACCGTAATTACTCTTTTATTTTTGCTTTTTTTTTTTGTTTTGTCGCCCAGGATCGTTCACTAAATTCCCATTATTTCCGGCCAGACGCGTCCAACGATCGAAAACATTGAATAAAAACGCCTGCCTGTACTGTTGTATCCCTTTCTTTTAATGATACCTCTCGTTAATGCTATCCCCCTATACCGTGTAACAAACGAGAATTTTTTATTACTCATTTTTATTCCGATACCAGTTTTAGTTAATTCATGAAACACGAACGATACACGAATAATACATATAAATATGACTGTATGAGTAACAATAAAGTATTGTCTATAATTTCGGAAAAATAATTTTAACGTTTGTTATTTATACATGTTAATAGAGTAATTAATTGAAAAGTGGAATATTTGGGAATTATAAATTCTGGAAAACTTGAAATTTGTAAGCTTGAAATCTTAAAGATGGAAATTTTGGAAAACTTGAAATTTGTAAGCATTTAATTTTGGGAAGCTTGAAATTTGAGAGATGAAAATTTTGAAAAGCTTGAAAAACCATAATTTAATAATTTTACTGTTCAATATTGTTCCTTACACTTTGACAAAAATTTGAAATACCGTTATAATAAAAGAGTTAAAACATGTTTCCTTGGTAATATGATACTACTGTACACCAAAGAAGTATAAAAGTTCAGTATCGAAGGTAAAGTTGAAATACGAAAGCAAACGCTTGCGACGACTGCAAGATAAGAGCTATCATTTCTGAATATTGATTCGCATTTGCGAACAGCTATCTGCTCCTTTATTATGATATCTCTTTCCTTTAGCATGGAACGAGCCTAATGTCTTGATAGTACTTTAAAATTGATGTGCAACGAGCTGTAGTCTTCTTAGAAACATAAAAACAATTTAAGTGTTCATAAAATTTAACCCTTAAAGGCTACCAGGAGTGAAATCTCGCCCCATGTAAATTTCACAGTAACCTTCATAATGATATTTGTAATTGTAAACAATAATTAATTAATAAACATACCTATATTTAATTTTCAAATTCGAAGTTCCTGTTTATTTATTTATCATTACTGCTATTCAACGTTTGTCTTGTTTTTCTTATTAATAATCATTCAATTCTATAAAATTTGAAGTGTGGCAATCAATGGGTTAATTATAAAATGTTAAAAAATATTGCTTCAGTGTAAAAGTTTCAATTCGCTGCATTAAATATTCATCAAGAAAATTTCAATTAGTAGTAAAAGCTTACAAGAAAGGAACTGTCTTTCGATCAAACTCCCTCGCGTTTGATTAATCCAATGATTAATCAAACTTCACCCAGAAATTAATTATTAGCTACTTTCACGATAATGTTTCGAGTATATTAAATAGTAATCTTGAGGAAACTTTGAATTGAACCGAATAGTTGGTGTACCTTTACACAAGTTAAAACATAAATAACGAGGAGAGAGGAATTCTGGTCCACCATGAACGAAAGTGTAATTAGAAATCTGTACGTCGTCGATTTACGTTGCCGTTAGAATCCGATTGTGAAACTTTGATAGAATTTCTCAACTGGAATAGTTACAATATCCTACCAGAAGACAAGAGATAAAAAAAAGAACATTTAAATTAAATTTAAAAATCGATAAACGTTTAGAGTGTTTAACACCCTGAGTTAGTAGTTTGGAAAATACATTTACTCGCTTTATTTTCCAAATCATGCGTGCGATGAATATTCATGCAATTATAGGTTTGTGTAACACGGAGTTCAT